GATAAAAAGGTAAATGCAGAAGGATTTAACATAAAAAAAGGATAATTACAGTTAATTAATGTTCTAAATTAAATGGTGTCACTCCAGCTAAACAAATTTCATGGGGAATGCACATTAACTCACATAAATAGAACTAAGCAGAAGAGGTCACTAACAGTAGTAGCAGTGACTAAAAGCATTGTTCAGTTTAAACATAAAAGAGATATTAAGAATATGCTTGAATAAGTTCAATGGTTGAGAATATTTAGTATGCACATGAAAATTGATTCCACACCTCCAGTGTCTTCACAAAAATTGACTGAAAAATGTAGTGGATCCTTGCTCCTCCAGACAATTCTTTTGTCGACATCTCCTGACTTTTTCCATCCACCATAGTGGAAAAGGCTGTTATTCAATGAAGAAGACGCCAAAAAGGGAAAATTAGCAACAGCAAACTCAAAACAAATAAAATTCTGTCAAGAAATGGACCAATGAAAGTTCACCTTCACAGTATTTTGCCAGAATGCTCAACAAAATTGCTTCTTGTTCAGCCTAAAAAATGGTATGTGACAAAATTCTTAGAGATACAAATGGCAACAAAATTTATAACCCAACAAAATCTTGTATGAGTATGGCCACCAGGGCCAAATCTAAACAGATATTTGTCATGCAATGCATTATATTTCAAAAAGAAAATGACAACAACCACGTAAACAACCATCACCCTTGAGACATTCATTTGCTGGTGACATTTGTTTTGTTAAATTTGGGAAAGTACAAAAGGAAACATTGCCTGGCACACTATACGACTAACATTGGCATTCTATCAATATCTGTTTTAGTTAATCAGCTTCTGTGTAATGTATTATGCCCTAAAGAGCATCACAATACATAATACAAGAACAACACATCAGTGCAATGGTCATAATTACTAGTCCATGGCTTCAACTTACTAGAATAATAAATTCTTATATGCAAATGATGACAATCCAACTAGACAGGAAAAAACCACTTCAAAAGACTTCACCTTAAGCATCAGAAAATAGTTGAGAATATTATGATTTCTAAATTTATAAAGTTTAACTTACTTTTGATTCCACAACTTGTCCATATTTCTGCAGCTCTTTTGCAACAGCAGTCAAACGTGAATTCAGCTCAGCCTTCAAACTTGGAAGAACAATTCTGACATGCTGCTCCAGGATCTGAAACAAAAAATGGGCAGATACATATGAAACAAGACACAGAGTGACTGGTATCTGAAAATAAAAGCCATATCCCGTAATCCTACAACCACTATTCTAAAATTACACTTTCATTCTCATCTTAGTTTAGTAAGCTATAACACCTTCATTAAAGACTACAATATTGTAGGGCACAAAGAGACAACCAGAAATTGAAAATAAGACAAAAAGAACCGACAAAAATACTAAAGCTAAAATCTATAAAAGCTACCAATATCAAACTTTTCCCAGATTTCACAACATAAACCTCTCATTTTCATTTTGGATACTGAAGCCAAAAAGAAAATTTTACAACACATATAAAGATGTTTTAAGAGGGAAGATACTTTTTGGAAACATTCAAAAAGTTTAAGTACTCTACTTGCAAAATTAAAGAAATCATTTGCTTTCCTGCTACAAGGATGTTTGGATTCTTGTCTAAAGAACAGCATGATTTTCCTTAAAAGAATCAATATGGCTCAATGTTATTGGTGAGACAGATATATTGCATTAGAATTTGAGCTTTTCCATTGTTTAGATATTTCAAAATTTTCAGTGAAGCATATCATGCAATGTATGCCACAAAATCATATTACCTCACAACTGCAACACTGTAAATGTACAACACGTATGACTGCTTTTAAAATAACGCTTATTCCTCGATTTTATTTTAGATTTTAACACCAAATAACATAGTTTATTAAGGTACTTGAACACCAAAAGAGTAGGGCACTACTAGCTTTGCCTTTAAAATTTCGTGAAATGTAGGTAAATGATTTTCAATATGTGGGATTTTGTACATTTTGTTGAGATAGGAGGAGCATGTTGCAATGAAATAGTCCATCAGGCACTAATTCCTTCTCAGATGTTAAGGCTGATCCAGGTTAACACTCGAAACCATGACATAGTCTATCCCATAGTTATAAATAAATGGTTAACTCATGAAGTTCCATTGGTGTATATCTCACTTTGTTTCATGAAGAATACTTTAAATAATGTTTATGTAAAATTAAATTGTTTATTCATCCCAATTTCAGAAAAAAAATCCCAATGCTAAAAGATAAAACATAACTCAAGGGAAGCCCATGAATTCACAACTAGTAGTATCAAGCATCAACACAAGAATAAGGTGTTCTATTAGGAAAAGCAAACCAACCTGATTCAGCTTCTTTGCTAATTGGGGAATACCACAACGATCGGAGAGACCATTATACTCCTGCAAGACCAAAGGCAATCAATAAGCAGAAAATTTTAAAGATTAGCTTAAAATGTAATTTGAGGAAGTAAAAAATTACAGGATGATCACAGAAAAACTGCTCCTCATATGCAAGCGCATCCCGAATGCTCCGATTTTTATTAATGTCCTGTGAGAACAATTGAAATTAGGCCTAAACCAAGTAATTCAACACAACCCATAAAAAAGAACAAAATGTTGCTCAACCAACATTCAATAGAATGACTATAAATCCAAAATAGCATAGATGGCGGTAAAGGAAACCAGAAAAATCATTCAAAATAATCTCTTAACAACAGTGAACAACATGAAGTGAGTAAACTGAAATTCAGAATACAAAACCACCCTAACTTGATCATGATACTTGAGGTATAATTGGATGACTGGGTAAGCATTTATTAAAGAAGTTGAAAAAGAAATAAAGATAGAGAAATCTGGCAATGAAAAGTCCAAGTACTACAAGTCCTATTACATGATAAAAATTGCACTTTTTTTCTTAAAAAACAGAAACCAGAACAAAATGTTCAGTTAATAACAATGCCATAGATAAAACTTAATGGAGTTGGAAATAACAATTTATAACTATGTATACCTCCTGACATCGATTCACAACTCCAACATAACCAAGGCGAAGTGGAACAACTTTACCAAGCAGAAAGTTGCATCCATTAGTACCCCTGTCCATTATATCAAGCTACAGACACCCACAACAAAATGAATACCACATTACATTGTTACTTAAGCACATACTCAAAAGATGGGTTGTGATAACTGTAAGACATATATCACAAACCTTGGTGATCACACCAATTGTACGAGTACCTGTTAATAAAAACAAAAAAGGAGCATCTCACTTGACCAGAACATTAATAACAAATTGAAGTACTTAAGATATAAGAAGCACACACGAGTCTTGTACTTACCAGTTGGATCAACATCTCTAGCCATTTGAAGTGCATCAGAAGTAGCCAAATCAGAATTGGCTGGACTAACTGCCAATATAATACAATTTTCTTGCCTGATATAGTCCATTATCATCTTTCTAATTCTCGTTTCTATATCAGTCGGCTGGTCTCCAACGGGAACCTTAGTGATTCCAGGTAAATCAATAAGTGTCATATTAAGCACATTTGGAGACGATATTTTTAACCCAATCTGATTCTCCGAAACTCCCTTGTTACGCCCTGCTTCTCTATCAGTCTCTGCCTGCACTAAACAAGAACAAATTAGTCATCAAACATTCATCACAAAAAAATTTCACAACATTACTTCATATATATTTACTAAAACATTACCAAAATTTCTCGGCGCACTTTAGTGAAATCATAGAACCGCTTTCCAGGCAAGTGACGAAACTCGGCCCACTCTTTACCGTCATCATCCGGTTTTCTCGGCCGGTTCTCGAGCATCAAAGCCAACGGCCGTCGCGTGCAAATATCGCAGCCACGTGGCAGAAAGTCGCGGCCAACAAGCGCTTCTAGCACGCTGGACTTACCGCTGCTCTGGCTTCCAACCACCGCCACCTGCGGCAGCGATATCTTGGACAACTCGCCGGAGACGGGCGTCAAAATATCTTGCAACCTGTTAATAGTCGGTATCACTGATGAGCCAATAGTAGTGCAACAAGTAGAGTTAACGCATGGACTTGATAATTCGCCCATTTTAGTTTGATTTGAATTTAAACAGAGAAAGTCTAGCGGTTTTTATAGTAGCGTTGGCTAAGTATTATAGAAATAGTTCTTGAAGAACAAGTAAAATAAACTAAAATTAAAAGTTAGCGTAGAAAGTGGGAAAGTTAAAATGACAAGACTGACGTTGGTTGAGAGTACAGGGTGGCATATGAAAGCCTGAAAAGTGAAAATTTGTGGGCAACAGGACCCACTTAAGTGGACCCGCCAAACACACGAGCCAGGGCCAATCTCTTTGCAATGAACCACATTACTCGTCAATTTGAGTAAACGACTTTTTGCCAACCCAAGTCTTGCCTTAGCGACACTTTCACACACACAAAGTTTCAAAATTTCTTTTACTACCCAAAATACACTTCCCTTAAGTTGAAATCACACTACTCATCAAAATACCAAAATCACCAATCACCGACCGATTCTGACATCGTTGTGACCCAACCCATCATCATTCTCTTTTCCCCGTTCATCACTCACCAAAAACCCTTAAACCTTGTTCCCGTCGACCTCATCAATAGCCGATAATCGAATGATTTGTGAAACGCATAACAACCCATCCCAAATCAAATTTTAACTAATCTCGACTATCAAAATTCAACCTGTCACCACCAAAAGATTTACCGATCTTCTCTCTTCAAAATGCTCAACAGTCTGGACCGAGTTTACTTTCCATTCGCCACCAAATCGCAAACCTAAGGGGAGTGTATTAAGATGGTAACAAAATAAAAATTTGGGTATTAGAGTTGTATTTTGAAATTTTTTGAGTGGAAAAGTGGCATTAAGCTAAACCTTGGATGGGAAAAAGTCGTTTACTCCAGGAAAATTCCTTCAACGTTGCTATTGCACAATGCTAGTTACCGTCACCGTTACAATTCCTACCAAACCATTGTTGAGTTCAATGTATTTATAAAAAAGATGTACTGTTCATTTGCTGAACAATGAAGGATATCAGTAATCATCTTTCGGTGTGATTCATTGGATGATTTGTAGTGCAAATTCAAGCCATAAATATAAATTTTAACACTGTAACACATAATGATGACTACATGATTTTACTAGTCTCAAAACTTAAGCCATTTCTTTTCTTTTTCTCTGCGAGAGACTGCATTTGATGCAGATGCATGGGCTGCTTCTGCCTCTGCTAATGCCTGTCGAGTCTCGTTTAGCTTCCTCATTGCAGCTTCATAAACAACTTTCTCTTTTTTGTTCCTTTGGACCATCTCTTCCAGCTTCTCAATTCGGATTCGCAGGTCCTTCACCTCCTCATCATAAGCAACTAGATCCTTCCTATCAACCCTCTTCTCTTCTCTTGAACCTTTGTGCCGCTGCGTCTTGTATAACTTGCCGTTCACAGCTTCACCATGTTTTGCAAGCTGACTATTGATGAGAGAAAAAACATCTGGCCTTGATTCTACTTCATCTCTTGCAGCTCGAGCTGCAGCTGCAAATTTCTTTTCGCGCTTTCTCTTGCCACCTCTACTTCGTTTCTTTAATTTATTCTCTTTATCTTCTTTGTTTTCATGGGACTCCAAAGCATGATCAAGAGATTGCTTTGGTGGAAGGACTTTCACAGAGATAGGGTCCAACATTCCCTGCCCGGATGCACCTAGACCCATCCCTTCACGATAACCCATATTGGCCATCATCTTGGAAGCGATGCCCCGGGTGTGATTCTCCCACTTTGCAAAAATGACAGTGTCTGTCTGGATGCCCCTTTGTAAATCAGTCATCCCATCAAATCCTAAACCCTGTGAGGTATCTTCTTCATAGTCACTTGAATCAGAGAGTTCCGAGCTTAAGTCACTCTCTTCTTCATCACCCATCTGGGCATACTCAGACAACGCTATGGCTTCAATCCCAAGCTTTGCAGAACTTCCATCATCTCTAAAAACAACCTCCCCCATTCTGAGTTCATCATCCCATGATTCAAGTTCAGCCTTTCTCCAAATGCCCACTTTATCATCTGAGAGAGCCCAAATAGTGGATCCCACCAATGACTGCTCCCAAATTGTTGGATTATACTTCTTCAAGGAAGACAATGGGACATCAATTCCTGCACATATAAACTCACATCAATCTTAGGTGCTGGAATACAAGCATAAAAATGATAAAAATATGAGAAGCAATATTGATGTATATAGCACATAGAAAGTACAGCAATTGTTACATAAAATACAAGTAACAGAGACAAACTTATTTAGTGCCATGTCCAAAAGATCATCAGAAAGATTGGGAGATTAAAATTTCCAGTACAGAATCAGATTCAACATGGAAAGAGTAGGGTTAAACAAAGGCATTGGCCAGAGCCATTTTAACACAATGGTAGCCCTCTCAGGTTCAATCTTAACATATACAGAAAGGAAGTGCGTATAAGAGCAAAAATAGCTCAAGGAAATTATTATCAAAATTGCCACAATTTTGTTGCAATGGGAACAAAAGAATGATGGTGATTTCCTACTTCAATTTCATGTGAACTCTCTTCAATTTTCAAGATTGCAATAAACCACTTCCACTAATGCTATACCCCACGACCACAAATTGGCTTTTCCTAAATGGAAAGAACAATGCAGCCAAAAGACAGTGGAATTTCGAAACAAATTCCAAGATTAAAGGTCCGCAAAATACAACAGTCTTAGCATACCATGTGATAAGCGGCAGCTAGAACCAAATCGACATCGTTGTTGCACAAAGAACTTGCATATCTGCACTAGCAGATCTTGCATTAGTACAATAGCTAACAAAACGTTGTGACTATTACTTTATAATCTAATCTACATAAAATTTCAGCTACGAATTATACCAAGTGTTTGTTAACTAGCTTCCAATTAACTGTTTCTCACATTCATAGCAAAATCAGTTCAAATTTACTGACCAAATAGTAACATAAGAGACTGAAACTTAATAAGATCAAAAACTGTACGGACCAGCATATCTTCGGATGTAGGCGTGAGAAAAGAAATCTTTGCGGAGTCAGAGTCTTCGAGCCCAACAATTTGACCATCATACCACCGGCCATCGTTGTAACGGAATCTACATCTCGATCCAACGGTGTAGGTTGTGTCCACCAACGGCTCCGGTTCAACATCGAACGGATCAAGCGGTTCGACTTTAACATCCTCAGTGGCAGCATTTGAACCACATAGCACGTAATCCACTTCTCGTAGTAAACGCGCACGTTTAAGGTGAAGAAGCCCCTCCTCCGCATCTTTAATGGCCTGAACAACCTCTTTATGCACCTGAGAGAATTGAAGAACAAAGTTGCGGAATTTATTGTTATTAACTTATTATTATTATTATTATTAATCAATGGCAAATTATTAATAATTAAAGCAAATTTAAATTAATACCTCGAGAAGTTCGGAATTGGTGGGGTCAGATGCTAAGGCGTCGTTTAGGGCGGAGAGAGAGTCTAAAACAAGCAAATTGACAACGAGGTCGACCAAGAGATCTTGAGAGAGAAGAAGCATGCGGTAAAGACCTTGAAGAAACTTCTTGTTCGATGTTGTTACGAGCCCTATTTTTGAAGAGGAAGATTAAAATTAGACCCGTATTTAAGCCCAAGCCCAAGCCCACCAACCCATTTTTTATTTTATTCTTGGTCAAGAAAAATCAAAAACTAATAAAGAGGCGGCAAATGACTGCAATTTACAGTCTTACAAAAGCGGGTTCTTCCGTTATTTTGAGAATTTGAAATTTAAAACTCGAGTTCACGGTAATTCGAATATCTGAACCGGAGTCTAGTAGATCCAAACAAGTTGCGGCGCTCAGACTAGCCGGCGAAGTGGAATCAGGTTGTCGTCTCCGGTCACTTATCCAACGAGAAAAGTTGTTCTCACGACCGTAGAGAATCTTCTAGACTGTGTCGTCCGTCATCGTTGCCGTATTAACAGTGAAACCAACATCGAGTAAGCCCTTGAATCTCAATTTATGTTATTTACAAATAAAATCCCAAGAAAAATGGATTTTTAAAAAATTGGTAAGTGGAGCTAAATTCAAAAGTTTTCTGTAAATTTAGTGAGCTTATGCTGTTTGATGAAATTAGTATAGAAAATGGGGCATCATAATCATCATGCAACGGACGATTTGGTGAATCTGTTAACCAGAGCAAACCATGATCTCAGTATGATTCAATACAAGCTCGAGAAAGAATTCCAACAAGTTTACCCTGAAAATGTAAGACATAAAAATTAAATACAGGCTTTTATTTTTATTATTGTTCTTATGACATAAATATATTCTCGAAATGTTGAATTCAGGCTAATCCGATGAAGCTGGTTTCAAGGATAAAGAAAGTGCAGGAAGATTTGTCAACTTTGAAGGAACAGTGTCGTGAACTCTTAGCAGCCAAACAGGTACTTTTAATTTCAAATTATCAGATTAATTTTTTAGTGTTTTGTTAAAGTGATTCCATGGTGATCATGTTAAAGTTGATCTTGGTTCTTAATTTCATTGTAAGGATTTGATTGATAAGGCACGTACAACTCTTGTTGGGAACAGAAGTTTAGTCCAGAAGATGCAAGCTTCCCTGGACATTCCTGTCACCAGTGAGTCTGAAGATCCTGCATTTGCTAGCTTCAAGGAGGTAGAAGTTGTAATTGTATTTTAAATTCTGCATTATGATTGGCAAAACTTCATTCTCAGTACAATTAATAGTCCTAGATATATTGTAATTCAAAAGTATTACCTAGCATTAGAGCCTACAATTTTAACATAAAGGAAGCAATCAAAGAATTATGGAGTTATGGCTATGAAAGATACTGATGAATAGAAGTCAGCATTAATTTTATTACTATAGCAAACTTTGGGTGTTCAACTTCATGAGAAACAAACTGACACAATTCAGTTTGATGTTCGCATGTTCTTTTCATGATTGAAGAGTCAACTCGTATATGCTGAGTTACTTTTGTATATGTAGCACAATATTTACACTTGATTCAGTCCAAGGTGGAATGGTAGAGACAATGTTATGTTGTCTTTCATCGTGAAAAATGTTCTGACATTCATCTTTGTGGAAACCAAATCGAGTGTCTTGGTAATTGAACTTTTAAACCTAAAAGTTTATGTTATTATCAATGCGCTGATGCGGAAAGTTGCCTGTTTTCCAAGTGGTGTCTGAAGTGTTTGCACCATTTGCCAGCAAGCAACCAAGATTGAACTACAGTGTGGCTTTCCTTACAACAAAATACCCAGGAAGAGATGACTTCCGGGTAGCTTTTGCTTCACTAACAAGAATCAAAGCCTAAAATTTTCTATCTTATATCATGTTATGGTTACTTCCACTTCATCCGCTATCCTAGAAGCATAAAATGTTTGGAAGACAACTTTATCACCCTTTTGATTTTTGATTTGTGCAGATTATTGATGAGTGGACGGTTCAATTGAGATCAAGAACAGGTGAGGATTTACAACTGGTTTCTATACCCTTTAGTTTTCCCTGGTGGTGGTCATTGACTTTAAAAGCATTCTTTATTTTGGTAGAGGGGTTATGAAATCTGGATTTTGCTAAGCTGTGAAGTTTATGTTCTCATTACAAGTGCGCAAGAAACACAATTATGGTGTAAAATTCCTGCAAAGGGAAGCTTTATTTAAGATATGGAATTCAGATCAATTTCGGTGGACAGTGGATGATGTGATCGTAGCCTAGGATGCTCAGTCATGAGTGATATGGTGGTTCTTGTTCGCATTTTACTTGTTAATTTAGTTAGCAGGATGATAGAAAGGATGGGTAGAAGTAGACTTCCTCAAGTTTGTTTGAGGACCACTTGTTGATCAAATACTATTTTATTGTTGCAGGAGATGAGAATCATGACTCGGATTCTGAGGATATCAACAAATTACTTTTCTCAGCTATTGTTGAAAGCAACTGAGCAGCTTCAGCGTACAAATCTTTATCAGTGCCAAATTATAGTATTTTCTTGCTACAAGGGATGATGAATTGAGGATTTCAGAATCGTTTAAAAATTGAAGTGCAAATAACTACAGTTTGTTAGTCATAAGACCAATGAAATGTTGGTCTTATAATCTACTGAACAGATTCTAGTTAACTTATAGTTTGTGATTGATAATGTCCTACTTTATTCTCCTTTGCGCTTCAGTTATGCATAAGCTAAAATTCTCAATTACATTTCCCCAGCCTCCGTTTTTTAAACAATAATACTATGCGTATTTACGAGTATACTAACCAGTGTATTAACCTTTGTAAATATAAAGCATAGTACGGATACCACAAGCATAGTATGGATACTATATATAATTTTAACAAAGGTTAGTAAGATCTGTGAGTATGGATAGCATTACTCTTTTTTAAATTTATGGGCTATCAGGATCGGTAGATTTCAGTTCTTATTGTTTGATAAGTAATTAATTGAAGGGGCATCTAGGCAATTTGTTGCTTTCGCTTTCATGGGTTTACTTTTGTTTTATATGTTAAACCTTTTCTGTCATATTCTCATTCCAGGAAACAGATAGAGATGAAAAAGCCTGCGCCCACAGTGCAGTTTATTCCATCATCTGTCCTGTTTTAATAACAAACAAGAGAACCACTTGTAGGAACAACTATGTACAGGTCTCAGAATATACAAATGAGAGCCAATAGGAGGCCAAGAATAAACTAACCAATCTACAAACAGATAAACGACACTGTAGTGTGATTAAGGACTGAGAAAGTCTTCAAAAACTAAAGGGCCAAAAAAACAATGAGATTATAAGAATTCAAATAATACAGTATAGGTTTATATTCATTGGTGAGATGGGGTGACTTTTAATTACAAATGAAATTAATACATGGTATGTTTGTTCTGTGAAATGTGAATTAAAAAGACACTATAAGTATCATCAGTTGATCATAATTTTCTGCAACAGGAATGGGAAAACAAATGAGAACATGAATGAAATGTCACTTTGATATCTCTTACAACCATCTAAGTTGTAAACTGGCAACAACTTGAGATTCCACCTCTTACTTAGGAATAGGAGGCTCCCCCAACCATTTGGCTCGAAATCCTGTTCCCTTACAATCAGAGCAACACATCGAACCCTGGTAGAATCATGACAAAGAAAAAATTTGTATGAACTCATACTAATGACTAATAAGAACAATGGCAATGCATATGTTAAGTCATCTAAGGAAAGTATTAACATACCCTTCCTGCACATATCACACAAGTAGTGTTCCGGGAAGGAACTTGGCACAGCATGTTATCACCAAGAATAAAGAAGCCTGTGCCTCGACACCATTTGCACTCAATATGCCCGTTCGAGTGGCAAGAAGAGCAAGAAACAGGCATTGGTTGCTGTATTGTGTAAGCAACATGAATGATATATACATGAGAAAACAATGTCATATCACAATGCCAAAACTCATTCTATTTAGCATTGTGTTCATGTAAATCAACAAAACAGCGCCCGCCATTCATCCCACAAACACAATGCAGGGAAGCACTGCGAAACCAACTTGTTATCATTCCCAAAAGAATTCCATGATTTAGCAAATGAAGCTTATATAATGTTTCATATTCAAGTTCCTGTCCTCATCAACTTATTCTCCATTCAAAGAATTTATGCAAATCAATTCATTTCAAAGAATAAAGTAAATTTAACTCTACACAGACCCCAGCTCTAATTCCAAGCAACCAAACACAGCCTAAACAATAATAAAGATAATTGCATAACAAAAAAAAAAAATTATAAATAAACTAAATTTGAAAAAATACCTGAGAAATTAACCAAGCTTGTTCCATACGCCTAATAAAATTGGAGGAACTTTCATAGGAATCAACCATAGAAGCTCTAGCACCAAAAGCCCTAGAATTCATATCCACAGTCCGCCTCACGCTGGAAAGACTTGTACCGGGAGGCACAACCGCAAACCGAATCGGTACTTTTGACGGTAACGATACAGAGCTCATATTCCTCGGTGAATTTTTAACAACTGCAACTGGTGATCTACAAGTACAACAACAACTACTCTTCATTTAATTTTCTCTTTTAATAATTTATTTGAATTTATGTGAAAGAGAAATTGAAATTGGCTAACCTAATGAGAACCTTGCCCGGTTTCCCTCGTATTCAAAGCGAAGAAGATAACTATTACACTAGCTTACAATGGGCGCTCTTGGTCTTGGCCCACTTTTTTGTTTGTTTTGACTTTGATTCTGATTTTTCCACAATTTGGACGGTGTGGATCTTCTCTGGCTCAAGATCAGCCCTTTTTTTACGGACAATGGGATAGGTCTTCTGATGGGCTTTGTCAGGGACGGGCCTTTTATGGTATTTCCTAAATGCCCCTACAACATCATTAAACAATTTTTTTTTTAATTATAAAAAAACAACCTTCTACAAATATCAAAAACCCCCTCGAAATGGGAGATCACTTAATAATTTTCAAAAATAAATAAAAATTTTTATTTTATTTAACCAAATCAATCTTTTGCTCAATTCTGGCCATCACTTTGTTTTGAGCGATGGTATTTTTCGTATGCCAATTAAGAACTATCTTAGCTTGAGAAAGTTTTGGTTTAGAGCCGTCAGGTTAAATGGATTGGGAAGTGTAACGCCCCAATTGAGGTATGTAGCTAATTTACGTTGCATTGCTTGAATCTTTATTGGTTTACTCTTAATTTAGTTGTTATATTGTTAATATTGTTTTGTTAGTCCTTGGTTGAATGGATATTATGAGTTGGTTGAGTGGTTGCCTTGAAATTTGTAAAAGACTTGGCGAATTTTTGTGTTACAGACTTCGCCGCGGCGATGAAGTCCTGCAACCTACGGTGTAGGTTCTGTCAGTTTTCGTCGGGGCAAAGAAAGATTATTCGCCACGACGAAGGGCTTGACAAAAGAATGTATAGAGATTCTAGAGAATTCTTTCATAGGGGCAAAATGACCTTTCTACCCTTAATTAGCAGGAAAAGTGGGGAGTAAAATGTAAGAGAATTTTATGAAGAATATGCTAGAGTGGGAGTGTGATTGTAATGATTTAAAGGACAATGATGGAATTCATAAGGAAGAGCAAGGGTAAAATGGGAATGAATGAAGATAAGTTGAGCTAAAAAGGGGTTCAGTTTAGTAAACCCTTCATTCACTCTTCTTCCACTGCCTCTTCTATTCTCCATTTTCTCTCAATTCTTCTTTCAATCTTTCAAGGATTTTTGAGAGTTTTTAGTTAGATCTTGGTAGAGAATTTATCTAAGGCATCCTAAGGTAAGGATTCTTGCTTTAGATGTGAAGTTTTGCATATATTTGTACATTGAAGTCTTATGGTTTTATTGTTTAAAGTTGTAGAGAAGGGACAAGTTACTAAGGAAAATAGAAGTGTTAGTGGAATCACACCATCACAAGGTAAGTAAATCCCAATCCAAGTTGATATTTGAGAAATCCTTTGTGTAGAGATTTATTTATGCATGATATATGTTATGTTATTGAGAATTTGGGTTGAGATGAGTAGTTATTTTGTGGTTGTTAAATATACTTCAATTAAGAAGTGTGACGTGTGATGAGAATGTAGTTTGTGATGAAATTGGAGGAGATTGAGAAATCTCTTTAGAAGTGTTAAGTTATGGCAGGGATTATAGCTTGGTGAGGGAGTTTTCTCCCATTTGGATGGTTCAAGAGAGGGATCGACTTATAAATAAAGTGGAGTGTAAGTATGCACATTAATTGTTTGATGAAATGCCTAAAAGAAGTACGAGCATGAGTTGTGAACCTTAATTTTTGCAACATTGCATATTGGCATTTCCTAAGTGCATTAATGAACATGAACCATCCATATGCATTAATTGTGCATTTGAAAAGTAGTTTGAGAAAGAGTAGAGAACTGTGTGAATGAACTACTCTAAGAGTAGAGAGAATGAGAAGAGCACTAAGAACGGGTTTGTGCTTTGTGATCTCCACCCGATAGTTATGAGAACGAGTTGGTGCTTTGTGATCTCCACTCAATAGGTATGAGAACGGGTTGGTGTTTTGTGATCTCCACCCGATAAGTATGAGAATGGGTTGGTGCTTTGTGATCTCCACCCAAAAGTTGTGAAAAGCGGGTTAGTGTTGTGTGAACTCCACCCAGCCATGCCTCCGGTAAGATGAGGCGGTGACATATATCAGCAGTTAAGTAAAGGGAGTTGTGTGAAAGATGAGAACTGTAAAGAAAGAATTAGAGAGAGAGTTACGGGGACAGTCGAGTAGATGATTTACTTACTGAGCATTATTTCATGCTCACCCCGTTGTTTTTCTTTGTGGTTGCAGGATCTAGGTGAGAAGGCGGTTGGATGGGCGTCGGCAAGCGAAGAGTAATAGCTACAATGTCCACTGTTTTAATACCATTTTGTAAATGATACTCTATTTTGTATAAATAATGTTTATATGTAATAAAAGAAAACTTTGGGCCCGTTTACTTTTGCTACTATGCATATATTCTACTTGATATATTTCTACAAGTATCCTTGTGTAAAGCAGTTATTACAGGAAGCAAGTAGTAACAACTTTTGCGTTGATGCCAAATTCCCACATCGGTTAGAAGACGAGTGTCTTGGTCACTAATATAGCACAAAGACATCCTCACAAGTAGAGTCGCATTTTCAATACAAAACTGTGCAGGCCCTAGGCCCGAAGTGGACAATACCTCTAGGAACCCATCTATTATGTGTCTGGATCTAGCATAAATCAACGGTTGGTGCTAGAAAGAGGGCCTACGCCACTCCCAAGCCTCTCGCCCCTGGGTGGCAAAAACCATACGGGTCCAAGGCCCAAAACGAATAATACCTCTAGGAACTCACTTACCATGTCTTTGGATCTGACATACATCAAAATTGGCGCTAGAAGGAGGGCCTAGGCTACTCATAAGGCCCTTGCGCCTAAGAGGGCAAAAACTGTACAGGCCCAAGACTCAAAGCGGACAATACTTTTAGGAACTCACCTACCAAGTATTTGGATCCAGCATGCATCAACAGTTGGTACAAGAAGGAGAGCCTAGGCCACTCCCAAGCCCATCTATGCTAGAAGGAGAACCTAGGCCACTCCCAAGCCCCTCGCCCCTAGGGGGGCAAAACTGTACGGGCCCAAGGCCCAAAATGGACAATACAACAGTATGGGCCCAAGACTCAAAGCAAAAAATACCTTTGGGATCAACACGTTGGTTGCTAATTAACAGCTTCCTTAAGAGAAGAAAAATATGTATCAAGAAAGAAGGTTTGGCTTGAAGATTGAAGATCAGCATTTTGAAACATCATAACCCATTCATATCATATAATAATCTAAAAATCTCAGGAAAACTTCTTGTCTAATTAAAAATTGTAATAAACAAATACCAATTCTTTTTTTTTTTTTTTTTTAATGTATATATAGTTTTAATATAAGATCAGGTTGATCTAGACAAATCTCGACATATACATTTGAAAGGGGGGGTGAAGATGTATATGATTTAGCTCAATGTATAGCTATTAACATGCTGAGGTGTCCCTCTCAACTCCAATCCATGAATTGTGAGTTTTCTCCTTTTTTAAATTTATTTAAAATTTTGTATGAGTTGACTTAATATTGCCCTTTCCCTTTGCATGATTACTTTAATCAGTTCATAAATTCTAATCCGTGTGATTGATTGATTAATTAAATTTCTTGACTTTGAAGCACCCACTTCTAGTTTATTCCTTGGCCATGAAGCTCCCCTCTCCAAACTGTATTGAACATCAAACTCCACCTAAAAGTGTTTTAATTAATTAATTAATTAATTAATCATAATTAATGAAATTAATACACTTAAAGAGTTAGTGAGACAAAGACAGTGTGGGCGTACCTAAGAGTCTGTCATCCTCACCTCTTGTGTTGTAACTTTCTAGCAGTCCATTAATATGCAATTAATTACTTTTCTACTTAGGTGAAGTGCTAATTTATTTATAACACTCTCATTATTACTTCTTTAAAAGGCAAGCATATTAGTAATTATGAACAACAACATTAACATACAAAGTTTACGGTTGGATTGATTTGTTGATAAGATTATGGTGATGTTAAAACAAGATTTTATTTGTTGGGATAAGGTTGGAACATTATATGGGGGATATTACTTTAATTGTGATTGAGTTAAGTATAATGCAATGCACACAGAACAACTGCTCACATCAATTATGCAAATGCCCTACTCCTCCTTTTTTCTTGCCAAATTATAGCCTTCTTGACATGACCCTTTACCTCGCCTTACCAAATCTAACACTTCAATCTTCATCAACCCATTTCATATTTCTATCCTTTTTTTTTTTTTTTTTTTCTGTAATCAGAGTATCGGACCAGTTTGCACGCACCTCAACATTAAAGGTCCATTAAACATCTTACCAACTTAAAAGATCAAGTAAATCATAATGTCGTAAGTGACCCCAAGATTTGAACTTAAAAAACTCAACGAATGAAGTAACCTTTTTAATCGTAGACCAACACTTGAGGTTTAACCCATATCATTTCTCCTTCTAATTAAACCCTTTTTTTTTTTTTTCTTAATTTGACAGCTTACAAAATTTTATATTCTACAAGTGGGCTACTAAAATAGTGTATGTTTGTTCGTACTTCACTTTTGACCAAAATAACCCTTTCAAAAACAAGACCGACTTATCAATGAATAAATAAGTTGTTTTATATCTATTCCAACCCTTTGTAGTAATGTAAAAGTCCATAACCTTTTACATTTATTTAACATATAATTTAAGAATTATTTTCTTATAAGTTTTATTCGAAACAATCTTACCAATCATAAGCTATTTTAATTTTGAAGTTGGTACTGAGATAGTTAACCATTAGGTTTGTGGTCGGATGACAAGATTATACCCATTTAGATGGATTACTGAAAAGTCTTGTGTTTGAGTAAAAAAAAAATAAATAATAAAAAGAGATAGTGTCCAAAATTGTTATTTTGATAAAGTCCAGGATGCAATTGCTAGACACCTTCGAATTTCATCATCACAAGTTTCATTTTTGCTGCACAACTTAAATAATTATAAGATATAAAAACTATTGTTAATATTATTTATAAAGGGAGAACGACGTGTTCCCACCCAGGTTGATGAAACGGTACTTTCTCACCCATCAAGTTTCAAAATGACATTTTTCACCATTTGA